TATATACATATTTGAAATGTAATAGAATTACTTAATTCGAAACTGAACATACTCACTATCCTTATATATATATATTTAAAATTGTACTAGAATTTCTTTTGAACGTACTGAATTGTAAAATATGTATTTTTTCCGAATGTGAGCCTCGAATCGTCGACTAGACCAGTTATTATTTTCCATTTAATCTACAGCCCACTATATTTTCTCATTTTTGAATAAACTCGGAATAATTTGTATTACCTTAAAATTTCATGAACCAATTAGAACAGATCTGACCGGTTGAGAAGCAGCCATTTGTAATAGCAATTGAGAAAAAAGTGTGTAACGTTCGTAATGTTGAAGTTTGATATTTCTGTTTTGCTTCTTTCTTTATGTGTATTTTGTCGGTGGTTTATTTCAGTGATTTTTAAGCGATTTTCAATAAATTTTTTGTGCAAATGTAATTAAAATGAAGTGCCCGGTGATTAGTTGCTAAAACATTTACAAAAATAATAAATTGGTTAGCACAAATATGTGCTACAAAATTGCTTGCATTTTTTTTCTTTATGCTTTGTTTTCATGTTCTTTGTTTACTTTTCAAAGAAAATAACATGGCGCCGAAATTACAAACGTCAGCCAGAAAATTACTTTTTTCTTTTGCTTCATGTTGTCAGATCTTGTGTAGTTGGATCATGTTAAAATTTGCTTTACTTATTCACTTACATATACCCAAACACCCTTTTACGAGCACCATATGGTCCTTACGCGTCATCAAAAAGAATTGGCAGCACTTAACGCGCAACGCCAACTCAGTTTTGAATAATATTTCGTCAGTCAGGGCACATGATTCAATAACTACAGGTTGTAGCAATCGTACTTAAACAACAGTTACCGTTGGTATGAACTCCTTGTGTCATCAACATGTTCCTTATCTATTCATATTCGTATGTATATGTATACCCTGCATACCAGGATTTCATAGAATTCTGAAAGGTTTAAGAATTTTCTTTAGGAAATCGTACAGAAATTTCTTTACTAGTTCTTGTCAACCGCTTCATATGTTTTTCTTTAAACATTCCTAAAAGAATCGTAACAAATTTCCGATACTCTTAAAGATTTCGGGAGCATTTGTTTGCAGGGTATATATTTACGTATATGTGTATGTATACGCAGATATGTAAACAAAGCAAAACAGACGATAATTTGACACAAGCGTGCTCATAAGAAGAAGCATAGCTTCTACCGCTATCACTTGTAATTGATGCGCCTTGGTCAGGGCATTTACCTATATACACACATATGTACTAATACTGCGCTGTATACATAAATACATACATATATACATACGTATGCACTCGCCAAGGCGAATTAATATAAGGTGATAGCAGTTGTACAAAAAAAAATTACATGTATTTTGTTTTTGCTTTGGCGGCGTAAACTGTCAAAATCAAGGCGAAATCATTTGACACTACTCGCCAAGGCGAATTTATATCTGACAGTTCTATTATTCGCTTGATTATATTTTGGTTCTATTAGAAAAATTTAATTTGTTTTAGAGAGTATTTTAAATATTTTATATATGAAAAAATTTGTCAAAGTGGATTTGGAGCCACCACCAAGCATGCATAACAAGCCAACGACACCCTCTTGGAACAAGCACATGTTCAGGAGGCCGTGCAGTTGAATCTGTTGGCTAAAATTCCTGCTACCCACTGGCAACGTGCACACAAAAGCTTTCATGCCCCACTAAACATCTAATTGATGCAATGGAACATTGGCACAGCTGACAATTCAGTGAGAAATTAATGTTTCTACTCTTAACGAAATATGCAGTCTTTGGATGTGTCCAATGAGCTGCGTCTGCGCAAGCAGATGAGTTACTTGAAATTTGGAATTCGCTAATGGCATGTCCGAATTTATTGAAGCAGCCCGGCGGACCTTAAGGATGTAATGCAGGTTGAAGTGCCTGAGATTACAAAATCAAACGCATTGTCAAAATCGCTGTTATTTCCTCGAAAGACTGGGATTGTTTAAGCCGCGTTCCCTAAAAATGGATCCCGATGAGCCACTGAAGAAGAGTTTGAATATAAAAAGCATTAAAAAATACATGCACGCATATGTATTGTTAAACATAAATTTTTGTAGTTTTATTTTAAATGAACAGTTTTATTATAAATGAATGTAGTTTTTGCCATGATAAAAATATTTTGTTTTTATCATGGTTTATGTTAAATTTTAAGACGTTGTTGAATCTTTTTGTGCTGCTAATCATTATTTCCGCCTCATCACCCGAACCGGAATCAATTTCAATATGCGCCTCTTAAATTGTGCGGTGCGTGTCCAAAAACCCATAATGCAAACTAGGGCATAGTAGGGATGCCAATACTAGCGGAGTATTGTGACCCCGGGATTTCGGAATATTTTTAAAGTAATCCTGGGATCCCGATATTAATCCCGGTATTCACCTTGAGCTATAACTTTTATGAATAACTGAAAGCATAGTAACAAACCATGAAATAAGACCATTTAAAATTTACGACAAAGTGATTTTAAAAATCACATATTTATTAATACAGACAAATCTTAAAGTATTTATCTAATACATTTTTAAATTATATTTAAAAAACCATGTGATTGAGGAATAAAAAAAGCATCCACAGCGCATAGACACCCAGCTCGAGCGTAACGCCACCACCGAGACTACGGCAGCTAAGTAATAAATGTTATGATAGTATAAGTATATATGTACATACATTTGCAAGTAATGAAATTTTAACCACATATTTTAACATTGCTCATGTTTCTTATTTTTAAAACTTTTTCACAAATAATTCACAAAACTTCACAATTATTTCGAAACTCAAGTCAGCTCACGTTAAAGAAAACAATCAGGGGCCTATTTCATAAAGCGACAGTGATAATTTTGTAACGACAGGCAATTTCCATGTTGTCATTGAATATTCGACAGTTCATAAGCTGCTATAGTTTGGAGGCAAATATTTCTTTGTTTTGTTTCGATTTCACACATTCCTTGGCAAACAGCTGATTTCGAAAGATGTTTTTTCTCTTCCTTTTCTTCTTTCGATTCGATCGTTACTCAGAATATCTATGTTCGATTCTTGCGGAGCGGAATGCGGGAACGTAATCGAAATGCAGAATAGAGCTGATTAAGAACAGAAAGTACTACACCGCCAATGCCATCATCGAAGGTAGCTTATCCCAGAACAGCCTCTGAAATAAGTGCAGTGACGCCAAACAGAAGGCAACGTCAAACGGCAACAAGTCATAGCTTTCATCATCGCATTGCGGAATCGGCTAAAATTCGGGCCGACGCCTCCAAAGCACAAGCTAAGGTTAGTGAAAAGTTAGTTGATGCAGCAATGCTCCAAGCAGAGGCGGCAAAATCTATTGTCCAAGGCATGAAGGACCTTGTTACTATTTCAACGCGACAGATTGAGGTCTTAGAGGCTATAATGAGAAGTCTGACTAGGTGACTTTTCGTAGCCAAAAAGTGCT